CCCGCTGATTTGTAATAATAATACACGAAACGGTCAACCTTGACCCGCTGATTTGTAATAATAATACACGAAACGGTCAACCTTGACCCGCTGATCCATTTTAGCACATGGATTTAACGGGAATATGCAAAACAACTTTGACATTTGTAAAATATAATCACTTGAAAGTTTGAACAAAGATACCCTAAGAAAGGTTACTAGTGGGGTTTCATGTAATAAAAAAAATCTTATAAATCATGGTTTGATATTGTCAATAAATATGCTATCGGGTTTTTTTTTCATTTAATAATCAATGTTAACAAATATAGGGTTTAGAATGTGGTGTAAGTTAGTTATACACCTCGGGATACGGGGTGTCTGGATAAGAAACCCCTCCGGCCTCCGGCCGACGGGGTTTCTTATCCAGACACACCTATCCCACGGTGTATAACTATTACAGATACCACGAACCCGGATGGTGAGTGGTAACTTTTTTAAAACGATTCAACGGTTATCAATTGTGTCTATTATTTAAACTATTGTTAAGGATGTATTCTTCTGACGTTTCAGTCTCGTTTAAATCTCGTACTGGAATTATTTCCAAAACATGTGATACAAGTGGAAAATATCAATGAACTTAAAAAATGTTATAATCAAACTTAACTCTGTGAAAAAAATGTGTATTTACAAATTTTATTCCCAATTAAAGTCGGTCTTTTTAGCCAAAATTTTGAGAAAATGGGTGAGGGGTACAAGAAATGATTTTACCAGAAAAATGTACATCCCATATCATTTTTTTCTTTTCAAATTTCTTAGATATGTATTTTTTCAATCATTTATGACAAAGAAGTTGAAATAATATGCATTTTGTTCTTAAAATAGAGAAAAATCACAAATTTACAAAATTGACAGCATGGTAAATTTGACACGAAAAAGCATCAAAATATGATAAAACTTTCTTATATTAACACCTACCTATAGTTTTTTTTAAGTTAAATTATTCAAATTGGTCCACTTCATCTTTATTGAAAGTATGAAAAAAAGTTTAATTGTGGAACTGTGATTTTTTTCACGAAAATATCCCAAAAACGGGTAAATATTGATGAAAATGGGAAAATCATCAAAATTGGGTACTTTCAAAGGGCCGTAGCAAGAAAAGAAGTGTACCACCATATGATTTTTTCTTCGCCAATTATTTTTTCACAGTCATATAAACCCAAAAATCAGGTTAAGAAAAAAAGTTTAATTCTAGAAATTTTTGGCTTCTCAGAGGTGTACATCCTTAAGACGTCTTTTCAAAATTACAGTTCTTTCATTAATTAGGTTCAATCATCAGTGAGTTCAAATTACCACCTTTTAAATCATCTTGAAATATTCACAAGAAACAACCAATAATTAAAAGTATACGGGTAGTGGATTTAAGTCATGAAATAATATTTAAATACAAAACCGCATGCTTTTTCAGTATTTGGTACTGACATTTCCATTGAATTAGTATCTGTAACTTACAAAGTAAGGGAGATTCGAACTAATTTCTAAGTATATATAAAACGTATGTTACCGAATTTCTAGCGAAAAAACATAATTCTAGGCATATCACGGTTTATTCTGTCGCTGTCACTTTTATAATTTCAAAAATTCACAGAAATGAAAAATAAATCATTTTGCCATCAAAATTAACAAAATATTCAGTTGTAAATGTAAATAGAACGCTCGCTACCTCAGGAGAAGGTGTATCTGATGGATAAATGATACACTGAGTAGCAATAGAACGCTACCTCAGGAGAAGGTGTATCTGATGGATAAATGATACACTGAGTAGCAATAGAACGCTACCTCAGGAGAAGGTGTATCTGATGGATAAATGATACACTGAGTAGCAATAGAACGCTACCTCAGGAGAAGGTGTATTTCAGTAAAGGATAAACAGTCGCAGACATTTGTGTGTCTCTAGAGTTAACGCTGTTTACCTATTCTGGTTAACAGACATTTGTGTGTCTCTAGAGTTAACGCTGTTTACCTATTCTGGTTAACAGACATTTGTGTGTCTCTAGAGTTAACGCTGTTTACCTATTCTGGTTAACAGACATTTGTGTGTCTCTAGAGTTAACGCTGTTTACCTATTCTGGTTAACAGACATTTGTGTCTCTAGAGTTAACGCTGTTTACCTATTCTGGTTAACAGACATTTGTGTGTCTCTAGAGTTAACGCTGTTTACCTATTCTGGTTAACAGACATTTGTGTGTCTAGAGTTAACGCTGTTTACCTATTCTGGTTAACAGACATTTGTGTGTCTCTAGAGTTAACGCTGTTTACCTATTCTGGTTAACAGACATTTGTGTGTCTAGAGTTAACGCTGTTTACCTATTCTGGTTAACAGACATTTGTGTGTCTCTAGAGTTAACGCTGTTTACCTATCCTGGTTAACAGACATTTGGGAGTCTAGAGTTAACGCTGTTTACCTATTCTGGTTAACAGACATTTGTGTGTCTCTAGAGTTAACGCTGTTTACCTATTCTGGTTAACAGACATTTGTGTCTCTAGAGTTAACGCTGTTTACCTATTCTGGTTAACAGACATTTGTGTGTCTAGAGTTAACGCTGTTTACCTATTCTGGTTAACAGACATTTGTGTGTCTCTAGAGTTAACGCTGTTTACCTATCCTGGTTAACAGACATTTGGGTGTCTAGAGTTAACGCTGTTTACCTATTCTGGTTAACAGACATTTGTGTGTCTCTAGAGTTAACGCTGTTTACCTATTCTGGTTAACAGACATTTGTGTCTCTAGAGTTAACGCTGTTTACCTATTCTGGTTAACAGACATTTGTGTGTCTAGAGTTAACGCTGTTTACCTATTCTGGTTAACAGACATTTGTGTGTCTCTAGAGTTAACGCTGTTTACCTATTCTGGTTAACAGACATTTGTGTCTCTAGAGTTAACGCTATTTACCTATTCTGGTTAACAGACATTTGTGTGTCTCTAGAGTTAACGCTGTTTACCTATTCTGGTTAACAGACATTTGTGTGTCTAGAGTTAACGCTGTTTACCTATTCTGGTTAACAGACATTTGTGTGTCTCTAGAGTTAACGCTGTTTACCTATTCTGGTTAACAGACATTTGTGTGTGTCTAGAGTTAACGCTGTTTACCTATTCTGGTTAACAGACATTTGGGTGTCTAGAGTTAACGCTGTTTACCTATTCTGGTTAACAGACATTTGTGTGTCTCTAGAGTTAACGCTGTTTACCTATTCTGGTTAACAGACATTTGTGTCTCTAGAGTTAACGCTGTTTACCTATTCTGGTTAACAGACATTTGTGTGTCTCTAGAGTTAACGCTGTTTACCTATTCTGGTTAACAGACATTTGTGTCTCTAGAGTTAACGCTGTTTACCTATTCTGGTTAACAGACATTTGGGTGTCTAGAGTTAACGCTGTTTACCTATTCTGGTTAACAGACATTTGGGTGTCTAGAGTTAACGCTGTTTACCTATTCTGGTTAACAGACATTTGGGTGTATAGAGTTAACGCTGTTTACCTATTCTGGTTAACAGACATTTGGGTGTCTAGAGTTGACGCCGTTTACCTATTCTGGTTAACAGACATTTGGGTGTCTAGAGTTGACGCCGTTCACCTATTCTGGTTAACAGACATTTGTGTGTCTAGAGTTCACGCTGTTTACCTATTCTGGTTAACAGACATTTGTGTGTCTAGAGTTCACGCTGTTTACCTATTCTGGTTAACAGACATTTGGGTGTCTAGAGTTCACGCTGTTTACTTATTCTGGTTAACAGACATTTGGGTGTCTAGAGTTGACGCTGTTTACCTATTCTGGTTAACAGACATTTGGGTGTCTAGAGTTGACGCTGTTTACCTATTCTGGTTAACAGACATTTGGGTGTCTAGAGTTAACGCTGTTTACCTATTCTGGTTAACAGACATTTGGGTGTCTAGAGTTAACGCTGTTTACCTATTCTGGTTAACAGACATTTGTGTGTCTAGAGTTAACGCTGTTTACCTATTCTGGTTAAACTATTTTCATTTGTACCCAAATGTTGCCAATTTCAAGTTCAAAAGCTTTACTTATAGAGGAATATTCGTATACAGAAAACATAATCTCTATTAAGCATTACAACTGAAATACCACTCTGAAATCAGAAAGTAGTACAAAGTTTTCAAAACCACCATCTTGTCATAAATGCAAAACATTTACCCAAATACTAGTATACTGTATTTCCATCAAAACTAGGGGGATCTTAATGACTCCCATACTTTGTAGTAACAAGTCAAAATTGTCTTCAGGTAGAAGACAGAAGACAGAAGATAGGTGTGTTAAATATTTTCGGTGGCTTAAAATTGATAGCATAAGAACTGTTAGGGTGAAAGAAAAATGTATTTGGAAGTAAGAAATATTCAATATAATTCACAAAAAATATAATTTAAATTTTATTTATCACGACTTAATAACTCGTTATCATGACTTAGTAACTTGATATCTTGACTTAGTAACTCGTTATCATGACTAAGTAACTCGTTATCATGACTTAGTAACTCGTTATAGCTTGCTCTGTATCACAAGTTACCAAGTCTTTATAAGTGAGTTTATTGGTTGTCATCATTTTATATAAATATTTAAATAAAATAGATGATGAAAAATATCGAGCTACTAAGTCGTGATAACGATTAAGTTAATTCGCTCTAACGAGTAAGCTAAGTCGTTATAACGAGTTAGCTTAGTCGTTATAATGAGTGTTCTAAGTCTTTTTAACTAATTAATAAGTCGTGATAACGAATTAAAATTAAACTACACCCTAAAACTAACCGGCTACCGTACATTTGTACTAAGTGAATATCTAATGGACTAATTTAGAAATGCTGTTGCATTAAGTCCGTTATTTTTGACGTTTCTGGTTAGATGAAACTTTATTAACGAGAACGCTTCTGCTTGTATTGAAAACAATGCATGTTACAAAATATATATCTAGTAAAAAGAAAATGCAATTTATGATGTTTTACATTCCAGTATATCCATCTAAGATTTGGAACGTTGGTTCGAATAATTTCCTGTATCATCTACATGATAACGATGGTAAGTATTGCTTTCTCACTTAGCCTTCTTTAATTCAATTCAAAACTTTATTGTCGTATGGATAAGCTTATATGATTTGTGACTAAAACAAACAAAACATAGTATAATATAAATGACAAGAAGAAAGCATGTATTATACAAACTAATTAATACATGTAATTATATCGTATAATAGTTAATAATTCAATTATGAGTCCTCTACCCTTAGTACTAATGACTGCTTAATAAAGGAACCTATGCTTTTTACTTGTTTTTGTGTTGATGGGCAGAGAATAAATTTCATTTTGGCATCATCATTTAGGCTATTAAAATTTTCAATACAATTTGCCTCAATCAATTATTTAATAAATGTTGGTCTTATGGTGGAGTCTTTCCTGCAATACAAGAGAAAATGTTTCTCATCCTCAACTATATTGCAGATCTGACACAACCTGTTTTCTCTGGGAATTTTTGGTGTCTCCCTTTTTCAATCAGTAAATTATGATCACTTAATCTTAACTCGGTGATATACAATTACATAACATCTTAATCTAATCTAAAACTTTCCCTTGCAAACTGTCGAAATAACATTACCTGTTATGGTTTGGTTGAGTATTCTCACAGGTAATATTTGAAATAAAGGTTCTATTAATTACTACATCCGATTTCAAGTTCAAGGTATGTTGCTTTGACGTCATTCATGTATCTGTATTAAAGAATCCGAAAGAAAATAGTTGTTTACTCAGTAAAAGTAGTCTCGTTACACCAGAGTTATCGTTCTTACTGCGAAAAATCTTCATCATACCATTGAGACTATAATGTAAATAAAAGTGTAATATGCGAGTTATGTATATGTCTGATGAATGCATCTGTTCATCATTCTCATCAGTTGTCATACTGGCCATTATTCTTACCTGGTGTCGATGCATAATATATATATATATATATATATATATATATATATATAATAGAAGTCATTTAACAAAACTGGTTAACATCAGAATTAAAACCTTCACAACAATAAATTAAACATATAAGTATACATGCAATAATAAAACGCCGTATTTAAACCTATTTTATAGCGTTCATTTGTTCTCTTGTTCTCTTGAATAAACATTTGAATGTGATATATTTGACTATGGGATTCTTTATCGGTGGTGGATCTAGTAATTTCCGTAAGGGAGGTCCGGTATAAAAAAATCTATAAAAAAAATGTACTGAGAACACCAAACATTTCCGTCTGTATAAAAATAAGGAGATGTGGAATGGTTTTCAATTAGACAAATATCCACCATAGTTCAAATGACGAAGATAAACGCAAATTTAGGTCATTGTACGGCCTTTAAAATGAGAAAAATCCATAGCGTATAATCAGCTATATTGTTTATCCAAACAAAATTTGAACAGAAAAATGAATACAAATTGAATTGTGCCAAGCCCATTAATTATAACTGTCAAGCGGGTGCCATAAAAAGTTCCTAGTATGAGGGGAAAATGACCGTATATATTAACAAGACAGCTACCCGTCAGCAGTGGCGGGCGCAAGATTTACAATATGGTAAATCACGGGGATCTATCGACAAATAAGAGCATCCATAAAATATCAGAACAATCTACTTAATTCAAATCTTATATAACATAATAGGGCCAATGCTCCGACTGTCCCACCTGGTTCCGACACTGGGCAGAATTACAATACAAAACTATACCGAATTTATTTTGGCCTCATGCATCACTGAAGGGACAATGTTTGATTTTTGTTTTCTCAACGGCCAATGGAAATATTTCGTGCAAAATTGGGACTAAAAAACATTAACAATAAATCCTAAAGGCTGGTTCAGGAAAGAAGGATGAATGGCGGGCATTTCTAAAGCCACTGAAAAATAAGGGTATTTTTGATAAAAGATGTTTCACTCGCAGCAGGCAACTATAGACTCTTTTAAAGGTTATTAAACGTTGTTTAACCATCAGAGAGTCGAGTGTACATGTAACAATATACCCACAAAAGGCATCGGATTTAACGGCCCCCTTCTGATAGGACATGACTGTTTCTTTTTAACATCCTACAAAGCAAAACAGGTTCCTTCCCAAGCATGGATTCTACTGACGGAACGGAGACGCCAAGTGATCACTCTAGTTCCACATTTAACTACTTATCAAATGTATTTTGAGCATTTCTCTACGTGTATCAAATTGTATTCCTATACTAATGGTAAACAATTAAAAAAATGACTTATATATACCTCCATTTATAATTTTAAAAACCCTTGTCATACAGTTTCCACAAATACTGGCAACGTAAGAAACAGAGTTGACCGTACTTTGACCTATAGTGGTTTACTTTTATAAATTGTGACTTGGATGGATATTTTTCTCATTGGCACTCATACCACATCTTCTTATATCTATTGTCGTATACTTTCAAAGATTTTGTACCCCCCGTTCTTTTTTAGCCACACTTAATGATCTTACTTATTATACATGTGTTGTTCTCTATTAGGGAATTGTATTCAGATTTCAAAGTAATAAAATCAAGATCTCTTACTATAGCATTTCATATCTACTTAAACGCATTGAGTTTCCTGATTTTTTGTCTGAATAATTTATAATTGGTTTTATTTTTTTATTTTTTTTTATCTGGGAGTTTCAACATTGTTTTTTTTTCTTGTTCAATGAATACAAAATCTATATCCATGCTAATCATGCTCCTTATTTTGGTAAACAGAACTAAGCCTTTATCTGTTTTTGATATCATTCACTTACATTAAAGATTTTATATTTGAATTTCAATTTTTCAGCTTATTTATATGGCGATAGTACTGTACGGTCCATCTTTAGCTTTGAATGCAGGTATGGTCTTGGTATTAATTATTTTATATATTTAAGTTACCATCTGTTTAATATGTTTCTGTGTCTTTATTTTCAAAAAGATAGACGCGTCAAAAAATAGTTTCTGAAAATCGGATAATTTAAAACTCTGAACATTTTTAATAGAAACTAGCACTTGAGTCGGCACGAATTTTATTGTACTCATTTTAAGTAAGGGAAATGTCTTAAAAGTTGTTACAGTTTTGCAATTAAGTTAGAGTTGGATGCATGAATTCTGAAAAAAAAATAAAAATTGTTATTTTTTAATATTTACTTTATACTAAAAATGTGCCGCTTCTTTTGGTATAAACAACATTGACGATTCCATTTTTACTAAACCAGATGAGCATTTCTTAAAATCACTGTCTCTTCAGTGACGCTCTGGATCGAGGCCAAACTATATGAAAAACTGAACATAAAACTGAATTGTTTCACATTTTTCATGTCGGGGCCTTTTATAGCCAACTATACGCTATTGGGTTTTCTCATTGTTGAAGGCCTTACGGTTGCCCATAATTGCTTACATACATAGTTGTCTCATTGGTAATCATACCAAATCTCCTTATCTTTATATAATACAAAAAGCTGGTAAAACATAATGCCAATTTAGTTGGACAACCAATCTGAGCTACACTTGAGGGAAATGCATTTTGTTAATTAGAAAACTTTCAAAAAATTTAAAACAGTAATTTCAGAAAAAGTGTTGAAAACATTGATGTCCAAGGTGTTTTTTTAGGAATTACCTAAAATATTTAAAATATCTTTCTCTCACCTGGTCCAAGTTTCTAAAACAACTAAACATTGACAAATGCGTTGCGACTGAATGACCAATTAATCTGGAGTTGTGTCGTGGGTTATTTTAATGTGATCATATCTATTGTGCTCTCAATGCTTTTTCTTACAGTAACCGGGATCGACCTCTGGGGATCACTGGTAGCAATATGTGCGGTCTGTACACTGTATACGGCTTTGGTATGTCAATTCAAATATTATTACTAATTAATGTAAAAAAAAAAGGCATTGATACAATATAGTACAAATACGGTCGTAGACAAATCTGTAAAGTTACCATTCCGATTAGTTCATGCAGATTAAAACATACAGTATATAAAAATAAGTGTATGTGGTATGATTGCCAATGAGACAACTATCCAACAGAGTTCAAATAAAGTGGATGTTAGCAACAAACCCATACTGTATAGTCAGCTTTAAAAGGCCCCGACATGACAAAATGTGAAACAATTTAATCAAACCAATTCACGAAAAACAAATACGACAGACATAAAACAATGTCAGGCTCCTGACTTGGGACAGGCACATATTTAATGTTTTTGTAGGCGCTCAACAAATTTGCATGGCGGGTGGTGAACACACAGCAGGGCACGATTACCCTGTTGTTGCACCAAATATTGTTCCGTTTAAAGTTCTCTCCGGCACTGTTTAGTAAAAAGGTTTTGATCGGCTTATTATGATGAAGCGTTCCTATATATCCCAAACGTTAATTGTCTATTTAGAGTTAGCTCGATATGCTATGTGCAGTCAACTACTGCACAATGCTATGCTCTACACATGTACATGAATTGAAGTATTCCATGACTTGTGTATTTACTTATTGATTTTACTTGTAGGGTGGCATGAAAGCTGTAGTTTGGACTGATACTGTACAAGTACTGATCATGTTTGCCGGGATGTTAATACTTCTGATATTTGGGTGCAGAAAATTGGGTGGTTTAGATGTAGCATGGAGAGTTGCTGACCAAAATGATAGAATTAAGTTCCTCATGTAAGCTTTATATTTGTTCTTATTTGTATATGCCCGTTTATGGTAAACCGTTGTCCGTCCGTCCGTCTGTCGTCAACATGTCGGACAAATAACTCAAAAACGCTTTAACCAATTTTCATGAAACTTGGGTGAATTGTTCATATCTATTGAAGGAAGCTCCCTTTTTTTAAGTTTCTAAGTTATGGGATTTTATTCATAAAAAAGGGGGGATTTTCCAGTTTTCGGACGATAATTCAAAAATGCTTTGAGCAGTTTTCATAAAACTTTGGTGAAGGTTTATATCTATTATAATACGCTCCCTTTCGTTTTTTTTTATAAATTTCTGATATGACATTGAGGAGTTATGGAACTTTATTCGTTGAAAAAGCGACATGTGTATCATGTGCTCATGGCGCAGCTCTTTATTTGTAATGGGATAATATTTAAGAAGCAAAAAACACTACAGAAATATTTATTATATGAAGTTTTTTTTAAAAGAAAATGAAAAGAGTAAAAAGAAAATATAAATTATTAGCCTAGGCCTGCTTTCTCTACAACCTTAAGTCTTTCCTCTACTTAAAAACCTAACAAAATATTCATTCTATTATCTATAAATGACTGACCTAAATCTGGAAAAACTGAGCAAGAACAGCGTTAAACCAACAAAAATTCAATTTTTATAACCTTAAGTCATCTTCCATCAAAATTAAAGTACAAGATCAATAATTTATAAAATGAAAAAATTCGCAATGCTTTGATAAAGAATAATATCTAGTCTAGTTAGATTACATTAGGTAACCCAAAAAGGACAGTATATTAATTTTTTTTTCGAATCAGGATCAATATATAGTTTGCACCTAAATGTTATGAAAAAGTCAGTATAAGTAAAAGGAGATATGGTTTTATAGCCAATGAAACATTGGATGCAAAAAAATGATGTTTACAGTTTCATTCCATTTGGAGTTCATGTTATCCCAATTGTTTATCTCCCATTTTACTGTTTTCATCTTAATTTATGCATTTTAAAATGAAATCACAGAAGACGAATACATTATTCGCAACAAAGTTAGAACATCCTCTTTTTTTGTGAAATTTAAACATTATATATCAATTTTCAGACTGAATCCAGACCCGTCAGAAAGACATTCACTTTGGAATATGATAGTTGGTGGTGGATTTATATGGACAGGCGTATATGGTATAAATCAAGCACAAGTTCAAAGAGCTGTTTCATTTTCATCACTTGCAAGAGCTAAATTGTAAGTACTTCGCATTTAATCATCCGTAGAGCTTCGGTTGTTTAAAAAATATGAAGCAGATAAGAAGCCAGTATGATAAAAATTGAATACAACTCGTTACCGAAAATCAGGGATAATTCACGCATGCGCGTTGCGCGTGAATTACTATTCCATTGATTAGTCACAATTTGTATATTTTCGATATCCGATTTCTTTTTTATTCCCGTTTTTTATTTTTGAATGTTGTGAATTGTCACCAAATTAATATTAGCATAAAGATCCCTGTAAGGGTAAGCATACAAACCTATTTCGTTATTTTGATCTTCATTTACGAACATAATTGATCCATAGGTTGGATATACACAATATGTCAGACAACAAATGCATCCATTCAAAGTTATTGCAATAATTCTTCATTTGCAGAAATGTCTTCAACTACATATGTACAATCAATATAGCATATTCAGCTTTCTTGCTCTAGTGATAATTGTTATCCTTTTTGACTATAAAAATATTGATTTGATCTTCCCACTGTTTTGATTTGAGCGCCACTGGTGAGTCTTGTGGAGACGAAACGCGCATCCGGTGTGTAGGAGGTAGGAATGCAATTCTTGTAAAGATTTTAATTAAAATCATGAAAATGACGTATTTTTCCATCATTATTACGACTGTTTTTACAAATACATAATAACTTTTTATTGATCCAAAAAACAATTAAGTCCCTTAGGACTCAAGAGGTAAAGTTTGATTGTTATGCCCCCCCCCCCCCCCCCTCCCCCCGGTGTAGCCAATGGGGGCATTGCGTGTTACCCTTGACCGTTCTTCCGTCCTTCCGTCTTTCCGTCTGTCCTTCTTTTCGTACGTCCGTCTGTCCTTCAGTTCGTCCTATTTATGTTTCCGCACACTTACTTCAGTTTTACTCCAAATTTTATGAAACTCATACACAATGCTAAGAACCACAATAGGCAGTCACAGAGTTTGAATTTGGGCAGTGAGTCACTTACCGTTCTTGAGTTATGCCCCTTTTTTAACTTGAAAAATTGCAAAGCTTGAGCGGGGGCATTCGTGTCCTCAGACACATTCTTCTTTTATTTTTCTCCATTTTTTTTGTTTATTTCCCATACTGCCTTAACACGTAATACTGTCAAGATGTATTTTCAGATCATTATGGGTGAATTTGGTGTGTATTGTGTCAATCCTTTCATTGGTCTGTCTTGTTGGAGTAGTCATGTTCGCTTATTATAGCACGTGTGATCCAGTGAAAGCAGGAATTGTGACAAAATCTGATCAGGTGGGTGAATTGATACCATAAATCTGTTGAAAATTATATAAAATGATTGATTTTCGCTGTTTGTTCAGGAAAAGTATACATGTATATAGATGATGAAACTGAGTTTGGAGGGGATACTTTATTTGTATTAAAGCAGAACAAAATAATAATATTTTTTAAATCTTTTACATGTAGTTCAAGGGTACAATTTGAAATATATGTTATTTAATTCTCATCTTTCATAACAAAACAAAACACACCCACAAAAGTTAGTATACCTCCCATGTGTAGTGCTGCTACGTGGGACATTATGTACCAATGTCATATGTTAAGTCTTATTTTATTTGTGAGCGTCACGGTAACAAAAAGGTTTACACAAGACTTGTGATTCCAGTACAGGCGAAATAGTTCTGGAAGTTCTCCTGAAAATATTTAATCTGGAAATCATTTTAGTGCATCTATTGAAATTATAAGGGAGAGTTTTTTTTATATGTAAATGCTTTCTTCCAATCTCAAACCTAACGTTAAGTCTGGACTTTATTCGGTTTTGTGAATAAGTTGGCCGATCAGTAAATTCCTTAATATAAAACTTTTTCAGTAGATCATGAGAAAATAATGACGAAAATATTTGCTAGACGGACGAACGGACAGACGGTCTTTCTTGATCTTGCCGATCAGTGTTTTAATGTTGCTTTCAGACGTAATGCTTGACCCATTTTTAATTTTTTTTATTCAGTTGATTCCTTTGTTTGCAATGGATATAGTTGGAAAATACCATGGACTTCCAGGATTGGTTATATCGTGCATTTTCAGTGGAAGTTTAAGGTACGTTCTATCTATATAATCTGAGGTTACCTAATTTGCACCTTATTTTACAGTTCTCTCGCCTTCATTTTTTCAAGGAACAGATAAAACTTGCCTTTCTGTATTTATTTGGTAGTTTTATCCGTATTTACTATAAAGTTCACAAACTTGATTTTAAATCCATACTGAATCATAGAAAATGAGTTTGATCCGACCTCCAAAAGATCCCAGATTCTGCATTGACAAATGATTGAGAAGTACCTACATTACACCCATGATTAGCTGCACATTCGTAGAAATCGGGAACTGGTATTTTGTTTTATTTCTCAACATTTTTTCTTATAATTTGACAATAATTCATGCTTGATATGCATTTTATATGAAATGGATATCTGTGATTAATTTTAATTTCTCGTTTTAAAAAGTAGATTTTTTGTAGACGTCATATTCAACGTTTCCATGAATTTTACATTTTTGACTGGATACTACATCTGTTGATTATTAATGTGACCGTTTTGTGTATCTTTAAGAGTATTTTAGAAATATGTTAAAAGACGTTCATTATGTTAAATGATAAAAATACGAATTGTTTAGCAACTAAGAAAACTTACAAGATATCCATCCCTTTTTATGCAAAATGGGTGCAAATTGGGTAACACGGTGCAATTTTGGGTACTGTTAAGTTACATTGATACTATAATGCAGTCATGTTGAGCATGTTTACAGATTATCTACATTTCCCAGTATATGCATCTTCAGTGCTATTGAAGTATTTCATTTCAGTATTTTTTATCGTTTACATTCAGTGATGAACAACTATTTTCGCTACCGATACTCCATGAGAGGACAATAGAAAAATCAATCCAATACTGAAAATCTGAAAGTAATGATAGTCTGGATGGGGTTTACAGAATAAAGAATAATGGCCAAAAGGAGCAGAATAATGGACAAAAAATATAAAGAATAGAGATAAACAGGGCCAAAAAAATAAAGAAGAGAGAATAATTGGGTGTTAAGATATAGAATTGAGCATAGTGAGCAAGCAAAAGATATAAAAAATGGAGAAAATTTATCTAAAATTAAAAATTAATGAAAACAGAAATGAAGGACCCCTTATCCAGACCATCAGTAATCGCGTCATATTTATTCGAGATTTCAAAGTTAAATAAAATTTTGCATTCGATTTGTTTAAAATTTTGCGGATCTTCAAATAAACTATGGAAAAGAATATATCTGCGGAAGAATCGGTACCACGAAAATAGAGAATATTAAGCTACTGCGAATATTTTTCGGCTTACAGTGTCAGAAAAAAATAACAGTCTGCATAAGTCACAACCTGTAAACTGACATGATTCATTACAATAAGTTTTTTAATCTCTGCAATTAAGTGGCTAAATATGAAAATTGCCTGAGCTATATTGAATTTCCTTTCTGCATGAAATTTGATGAACACATTTTTTTTTTATTTCAGCTCTGTGTCATCTGGATTTAATGCAATATCAGCGATTATTTTAAAGGATTTTATTCTTGTATGTGCTCCAAATATGCCCTCTGGAACAAGAACAATTATTTCCAAATTCATTGGTTGGTATTATAAATTTCTATGATATAGAAATGTATTATTGCGTTATTACATGTATGTGGTTTTATTGTCTCGCCTGCGACGAAAATCAGAGTATGCGAGACATAGGGATTACAATCAGGCGGCGGTGTAAAGTATTTGTATAAAGCTTTATATGTCATAGGGTAGAAAAGCTTTATATTTCAGAGGGTAGAAGAGCTTTATATTTCAGAGGGTAGAAGAGCTTTATATCTCAGAGGGTAGAAGACCTTTGATGCTTCATACCTTGCATGTAGATACCTTATGTTACGAAGTTTTCGTCTGTCATATGTCCATTGTCCTTGACCTAATTTTCATGGTTCAGCGAATGCTTGAAAAAAAAGAATTTTTTTTTGTCATGTAAATTTCTCAATAGTTATAATAGGATAACTAAATTTGGAATATGGATTCCTTGCAATTCTACATGTCCGTCAGACCGGGTATATCTGACCTCGATCTCATTTCATGGATCAGTGATCAAGGTTAAAGTTACGTGATTAGGTCTGTTTCTCAGATACTATAAGCAGTAGGTCAACTATATGTGCTATATGTAATGATTTAGAAGAGTACATGTCAGTTTGACAGGTTTTATTTACCTTGAGCTCATTTTCATGGTACACAGGTCAATGTTACGCTTTTGTGTTTTGGTCTATTTTTCAAATGATTATAGCAATAGGTCACCTATATTTGGTGTATGGAATGACTGTTAGGTGTAAATGTCTGTCTACCAGGTATCATCTGACCATGACCTCATTTTCTTGGTTCATTGGTCAATGTTGAGTTTTTGTGTTTTGGTCAGTTTTTTTCAATTACCGTAAGTAATAGGTCAACTATATTTGGTGTATGAAATAATTTTAAGGTGTTTATGTCTGTCTGACAGGAATTATCTGACCTTGACCTCATTGTCATGGATCTTTAAACATGTTAAGTTTATGTGATACTTATAGTAGAACCTTTATCTTTAAGACATTCAACATGAAATAAATGGTGAGTAAAGCAGGCGAGACATTTCATGTGCACTCTTTGTTTCTATGAAAGACCGATACTCACTGCTTGTAGATCAAAGGGTGATGTAAAAAAAATTAAAATCAAATCAAACACAACTTTCCACGTCATATTATCTCGAGGCGAAAAAGCCTGGGAAGCATGAAAGCCTCTTGTATGGACATATGAAAACATCAAAACAAAACATGTGGCCACATGCCGCATTGCAAAAGAGAGGAGAAATATACAAAAGTGACAGGAAAACTGATAAGTCAAAAACAAACTGACAACGCCATTGCAAAACACGAAAAACGACCAAAAGACAAAAACAGATCACAGAGCACGACATAAAAAACTAAAGAGCGAGCAACTGGAACCCCACCTAAAACCGGGGGTGATCTCAGGTGCTCCGTAAGACAACGTTACCTATATTGATACTACGAATAGTTTTCAATTTGTTGACAACCAATACCTCTTCAGAATTAAAATGAGGCAAATGCATGTTACTCATTGAAATTAAGTATTGCTCGTGTTTATTTTAGTTTTCCTAGCTGGTGGAGTCTGTCTCGCACTAGCATATGTTATTTGTGTTTATTTTAATTCTCCTAGCTAGTGCTGTCTGTCTCGCTGTAGCATATGTTATTTGTGTTTATTTTAGTTCTCCTAGCTAGTGGTATCTGTCTCGCTGTAGCATATGTTATTTGTGTTTATTTTAGTTCTCCTAGCTGGTGGTGTCTGTCTCGCTGTAGCATATGTTATTTGTGTTTATTTTAGTTCTCCTAGCTAGTGCTGTCTGTCTCGCACTAGCATATGTTATTTGTGTTTATTTTAATTCTTCTAGCTGTTAGAGTCTGTCTCGCACTAGCATATGTAGTTTGTGTTTATTTTAATTCTCCTAGCTGATGGAGTCTGTCTCGCTGTAGCATATGTTATTTGTGTTTATTTCAATTCTCCTAGCTGGTGGAGTCTGTCTCGCACTAACATATGTTATTTGTCTTTATTTTAATTATCCTAGCTGGTGGTATCTGTCTCGCAGTAGCATATGTTATTTGTGTTATTTTAGTTCTCCTAGCTGGTGATGTCTGTCTCGATGTAGCATATGTTATTTGTGTTTATTTTAGTTCTCCTAGCTAGTGGTGTCTGTCTCTCTGTAGCATATGTTATTTGTGTTTATTTAAATTCTCCTAGCTGGTGCTGTCTGTCTCGCGGTAGCATATGTTATTTGTGTTTATTTTAATTCTCCTAGCTGGTGGTGTCTGTCTCGCGGTAGCATATGTTATTTGTGTTTATTTTAGTTCTCCTAGCTGGTGGCATCTGTCTCGCTGTAGCATATGTTATTTGTGTTTATTTCAATTCTTCTAGCTAGTGGTGTCTGTCTCTCTGTAGCGTATGTTATTTGTGTTTATTTTAGTTCTCCTAGCTGTTGTAGTCTGTCTCTCGGTAGCATATGTTATTTGTGTTTATTTTAGTTCTCCTAACTGGTGCTGTCTGTCTTGCTGTAGCATATATTATTTCTGTTATTATAGTTCTCCTAGCTAGTGGTGTCTGTCTTGCTGTAGCATATGTTATTTGTGTTTATTTTTAGTTCTCCTAGCTGTTGGAGTCTGTCTTGCGGTAGCATATGTTATTTGTGTTATTTTAGTTCTCCTAGCTGGTGGCATCTGTCTCGCTGTAGCATATGTTATTTGTGTTTATTTCAATTCTTCTAGCTAGTGGTGTCTGTCTCTCTGTAGCGTATGTTATTTGTGTTTATTTTAGTTCTCCTAGCTGTTGTAGTCTGTCTCTCGGTAGCATATGTTATTTGTGTTTATTTTAGTTCTCCTAACTGGTGCTGTCTGTCTTGCTGTAGCATATATTATTTCTGTTATTATAGTTCTCCTAGCTAGTGGTGTCTGTCTTGCTGTAGCATATGTTATTTGTGTTTATTTTTAGTTCTCCTAGCTGTTGGAGTCTGTCTTGCGGTAGCATATGTTATTTGTGTTATTTTAGTTCTCCTAGCTGGTGGTGTCTGTCTTGCTGTAGCATATATTATTTCTGTTATTATAGTTCTCCTACCTAGTGGTGTCTGTCTTGCTGTAGCATATGTTATTTGTGTTATTTTAGTTCTCCTAGCTGGTGATGTCTGTCTCGCTGTAGCATATGTTATTTGTGTTTATTTTAGTTCTCCTAGCTAGTGGTGTCTGTCTCTCTGTAGCATATGTTATTTGTGTTTATTTAAATTCTCCTAGCTGGTGCTGTCTGTCTCGCGGTAGCATATGTTATTTGTGTTTATTTTAATTCTCCTAGCTGGTGGTGTCTGTCTCGCGGTAGCATATGTTATTTGTGTTTATTTTAGTTCTCCTAGCTGGTGATGTCTGTCTCGATGTAGCATATGTTATTTGTGTTTATTTAAATTCTCCTAGCTGGTGCTGTCTGTCTCGCGGTAGCATATGTTATTTGTGTTTATTTTAATTCTCCTAGCTGGTGGTGTCTGTCTCGCGGTAGCATATGTTATTTGTGTTTATTTCAATTCTCCTAGCTGGTGGAGTCTGTCTCGCACTAACATATGTTATTTGTCTTTATTTTAATTATCCTAGCTGGTGGTATCTGTCTCGCAGTAGCATATGTTATTTGTGTTATTTTAGTTCTCCTAGCTGGTGATGTCTGTCTCGATGTAGCATATGTTATTTGTGTTTATTTTAGTTCTCCTAGCTAGTGGTGTCTGTCTCTCTGTAGCATATGTTATTTGTGTTTATTTAAATTCTCCTAGCTGGTGTTGTCTGTCTCGCGGTAGCATATGTTATTTGTGTTTATTTTAATTCTCCTAGCTGGTGGTGTCTGTCTCGCGGTAGCATATGTTATTTGTGTTTATTTTAGTTCTCCTAGCTGGTGGCATCTGTCTCGCTGTAGCATATGTTATTTGTATTTATTTCAATTCTTCTAGCTAGTGGTGTCTGTCTCTCTGTAGCGTATGTTATTTGTGTTATTTTAGTTCTCCTAGCTGGTGATGTCTGTCTCGCTGTAGCATATGTTATTTGTGTTTATTTTAGTTCTCCTAGCTAGTGGTGTCTGTCTCTCTGTAGCATATGTTATTTGTGTTTATTTAAATTCTCCTAGCTGGTGCTGTCTGTCTCGCGGTAGCATATGTTATTTGTGTTTATTTTAATTCTCCTAGCTGGTGGTGTCTGTCTCGCGGTAGCATATGTTATTTGTGTTTATTTTAGTTCTCCTAGCTGGTGGCATCTGTCTCGCTGTAGCATATGTTATTTGTGTTTATTTCAATTCTCCTAACTAGTGGTGTCTGTCTCTCTGTAGCGTATGTTATTTGTGTTTATTTTAGTTCTCCTAGCTGTTGTAGTCTGTCTCGCGGTAGCATATGTTATTTGTGTTTATTTTAGTTCTCCTAGCTGGTGCTGTCTGTCTTGCTGTAGCATATATTATTTCTGTTATTATAGTTCTCCTAGCTAGTGGTGTCTGTCTTGCTGTAGCATATGTTATTTGTGTTTATTTTTAGTTCTCCTAGCTGTTGGAGTCTGTCTCGCGGTAGCATATGTTATTTGTGTTATTTTAGTTCTCCTAGCTGGTGGTGTCTGTCTTGCTGTAGCATATGTATTTTCTGTTATTATAGTTCTCCTACCTAGTGGTGTCTGTCTTGCTGTAGCATATGTTATTTGTGTTATTTTAGTTCTCCTAGCTGGTGCTGTCTGTCTCTCTGTAGCATATGTTATTTGTGTTATTTTAGTTCTCCTAGCTAGTGGTGTCTGTCTCGCTGTAGCATATGTTATTTGTGTTCATTTTAGTTCTCCTAGCTGTTGGAGTCTGTCTCGCTTTAGCATATGTTATTTGTGTTTATTTTAATTTTCCTAGCTGGTGGTGTCTGTCTCGCAGTAGTATATGCTATTTGTGTTTATTTTAATTCTCCTAGCTGGTGGTGTCTGTCTTTCTGTAGCATATGTTATTTGTGTTTATTTTAGTTCTCCTAGCTGGTTGTATCTGTCTCGCTCTAGCATATGTTATTTGTGTTTATTTTAGGTCTCCTAACTGGTGCTGTCTGTCTCGCTGTAGCATATGTTATTTGTGTTTATTTTAGTTCTAACTAGTGGTGTCTGTCTTGCTGTAGCATATGTTATTTGTGTTTATTTTAGTTCTCCTAACTAGTGGTGTCTGTCTCGTGGTAGCACATGTTATTTGTGTTATTTTAGTTCTCCTAGCTGGTGGTGTCTGTCTCGCTGTAGCATATGTTATTTGTGTATATTATAGTTCTCCTACCTAGTGGTGTCTGTCTCGCTGTAGCATATATTATTTGTGTTTATTTTAGTTCTCCTAACTAGTGGTGTCTGTCTCGCTGTAGCATATATTATTTGTGTTTATTTTAGTTCTCCTAGCTAGTGGTGTCTGTCTCGCCGTAGCATATGTTATTTGTATTTATTTTAGTTCTCCTAGCTAGTGGTGTCTGTCTCGCTGTAGCATATGTTATTTGTGTTTATTTTAGTTCTCCTAGCTAGTGGTGTCTGTCTCGCTGTAGCATATGTTATTTGTGTTATTTTAATTCTCCTAGCTGGTGCTGTTTGTCTTGCTGTAGCATATGTTAGTTGTGTTTATTTTAGTTCTCCTAACTAGTGGTGTCTGTCTCGCGGTAGCACATGTTATTTGTGTTATTTTAGTTCTCCTAGCTGGTGGTGTCTGTCTTGCTGTAGCATATGTTATTTCTGTTATTATAGTTCTCCTACCTAGTGGTGTCTGTCTTGCTGTAGCATATGTTATTTGTGTTATTTTAGTTCTCCTAGCTGGTGCTGTCTGTCTCTCTGTAGCATATGTTATTTGTGTTATTTTAGTTCTCCTAGCTAGTGGTGTCTGTCTCGCTGTAGCATATATTATTTGTGTTTATTTTAGTGTTCCTAGCTGTTGGAGTCTGTCTCGCTTTAGCATATGTTATTTGTGTTTATTTTAATTTTCCTAGCTAGTGGTGTCTGTCTCGCAGTAGTATATGCTATTTGTGTTTATTTTAATTCTCCTAGCTGGTGGTGTCTGTCTTTCTGTAGCATATGTTATTTGTGTTTATTTTAGTTCTCCTAGCTGGTTGTATCTGTCTCGCTCTAGCATATGTTATTTGTGTTTATTTTAGGTCTCCTAACTGGTGCTGTCTGTCTCGCTGTAGCATATGTTATTTGTGTTTATTTTAGTTCTAACTAGTGGTGTCTGTCTTGCTGTAGCATATGTTATTTGTGTTTATTTTAGTTCTCCTAACTAGTGGTGTCTGTCTCGTGGTAGCACATGTTATTTGTGTTATTTTAGTTCTCCTAGCTGGTGGTGTCTGTCTCGCTGTAGCATATGTTATTTGTGTATATTTTAATTCTCCTAGCTAGTGGTGTCTGTCTCTCTGTAGCATATATTATTTGTGTTTATTTGAGTTCTCCTAACTAGTGGTGTCTGTCTCGCTGTAGCATATATTATTTGTGTTTATTTTAGTTCTCCTAGCTAGTGGTGTCTGTCTCGCCGTAGCATATGTTATTTGTATTTATTTTAGTTCTCCTAGCTAGTGGTGTCTGTCTCGCTGTAGCATATGTTATTTGTGTTTATTTTAGTTCTCCTAGCTAGTGGTGTCTGTCTCGCTGTAGCATATGTTATTTGTGTTATTTTAATTCTCCTAGCTGGTGCTGTTTGTCTTGCTGTAGCATATGTTAGTTGTGTTTATTTTAGTTCTCCTAACTAGTGGTGTCTGTCTCGCGGTAGCACATGTTATTTGTGTTATTTTAGTTCTCCTAGCTGGTGGTGTCTGTCTCGCTGTAGCATATGTTATTTGTGTATATTTTAATTCTCCTAGCTAGTGGTGTCTGTCTCGCTGTAGCATATATTATTTGTGTTTATTTTAGTTCTCCTAACTAGTGGTGTCTGTCTCGCTGTAGCATATATTATTTGTGTTTATTTTAGTGTTCCTAGCTGTTGGAGTCTGTCTCGCTTTAGCATATGTTATTTGTGTTTATTTTAATTTTCCTAGCTAGTGGTGTCTGTCTCGCAGTAGTATATGCTATTTGTGTTTATTTTAATTCTCCTAGCTGGTGGTGTCTGTCTTTCTGTAGCATATGTTATTTGTGTTTATTTTAGTTCTCCTAGCTGGTTGTATCTGTCTCGCTCTAGCATATGTTATTTGTGTTTATTTTAGGTCTCCTAACTGGTGCTGTCTGTCTCGCTGTAGCATATGTTATTTGTGTTTATTTTAGTTCTAACTAGTGGTGTCTGTCTTGCTGTAGCATATGTTATTTGTGTTTATTTTAGTTCTCCTAACTAGTGGTGTCTGTCTCGTGGTAGCACATGTTATTTGTGTTATTTTAGTTCTCCTAGCTGGTGGTGTCTGTCTCGCTGTAGCATATGTTATTTGTGTATATTTTAATTCTCCTAGCTAGTGGTGTCTGTCTCGCTGTAGCATATATTATTTGTGTTTATTTTAGTTCTCCTAACTAGTGGTGTCTGTCTCGCTGTAGCATATATTATTTGTGTTTATTTTAGTTCTCCTAGCTAGTGGTGTCTGTCTCGCCGTAGCATATGTTATTTGTATTTATTTTAGTTCTCCTAGCTAGTGGTGTCTGTCTCGCTGTAGCATATGTTATTTGTGTTTATTTTAGTTCTCCTAGCTAGTGGTGTCTGTCTCGCTGTAGCATATGTTATTTGTGTTATTTTAATTCTCCTAGCTGGTGCTGTTTGTCTTGCTGTAGCATATGTTAGTTGTGTTTATTTTAGTTCTCCTAACTAGTGGTGTCTGTCTCGCGGTAGCACATGTTATTTGTGTTATTTTAGTTCTCCTAGCTGGTGGTGTCTGTCTCGCTGTAGCATATGTTATTTGTGTATATTTTAATTCTCCTAGCTAGTGGTGTCTGTCTCGCTGTAGCATATATTATTTGTGTTTATTTTAGTTCTCCTAACTAGTGGTGTCTGTCTCGCTGTAGCATATATTATTTGTGTTTATTTTAGTTCTCCTAGCTAGTGGTGTCTGTCTCGCCGTAGCATATGTTATTTGTATTTATTTTAGTTCTCCTAGCTAGTGGTGTCTGTCTCGCTGTAGCATATGTTATTTGTGTTTATTTTAGTTCTCCTAGCTAGTGGTGTCTGTCTCGCTGTAGCATATGTTATTTGTGTTATTTTAATTCTCCTAGCTGGTGCTGTTTGTCTCGCTGTAGCATATGTTATTTGTCTTTATTTTAGTTCTCCTAACTGGTGGCGTCTGTCTCGCTGTAGCTTATGTCATGTCACTATTAACGTCTTCCATCTTAACGGTAATTATAATTAATTACTATGATTACTTTCTTTTATTCAAGGATTAAATAAAATATAGAAACATTATTGAAAACAGCAATATATACAAAGAAAGCCATCAAAAGTCATTGGTCGAAGAACACAACACAGTTGTCTTAAGAAAAAAAAAAGACCAACAATTTTTGAAGGCCGTACGGTGACTTATAGTTGTTAACTTCTATATCATTTGGTCTCTGGTGGAGTGTTGTCTCATTGGCAATTATACCACATCTTCGTATCTTTATATTTAAACATGAAAGAACCCCATAAAAACAGATACTCTAGAAGGAAAAGCAGTTTCTGCTCCACTTGTGTAAACTCTACCTAGACCCTTCCTTTATTAAGCTAAAGACTTCAGCTTTGGCTAATATTTTAATAGTAATTCCATATAGGTATAGATTTTCGATTTTAAAATGTTGATCTGTATAAGAAAAATATGCTTGTTGAATATTTTTGATGTCTAGAGTGACAGAGCTAGAAATAAGGATTTTATTTTTTTTGATTGAGATATTTCAATATTTAAGAATCTTTTCATTTAACTATCGCATGATACTCGCTTTTTATTAACTAAACCAAGTCAGGATGATTGAAATAAAACTAAAACTTCACAAACTAAAGTTATTTACAAGCTAAAAGAACAGCACTGTGATTGAAATTGATACTTCAAACACGTATTTTGAAGTTACTTATTTTCAGGCTACAATCACTATATATGGTCTTCTTGGTGGACCCTTACTTGGACTTTTCACTCTTGGTATTTTATTTCCATGGGCCAATAAATGGGTAACTACATCTAATATATATATACGAACAATATTAAATCTTGAGAAAATGTGAATTGTACATTAATTATATAATATATATCCTGCAATCAGCAAACTATTGTACAAAAAGCGTTTACACCGCAGTTCATATTGGAGCCTCTTTGTGTAATACGATTTATCAATTATCATTTTTGAAGACAACGATTCAAGATTTGACAAAAACACATTTTTAAAAAATTACCTTTAATCGATTTGGCTATTCTTTTTATGTTTTTTTTTTATTATACAGCTCCTCACGTTTTCAAGTACTTATACTTGTCAACAAAAGAAACGATACAAAGCAGTGTATTTTCCATATATATAATGAAATTGAATACACTGTACCAAGGTCAATAATTTCCCAATAGACAACTTTCGAGTTCGATGCATTTCCGTCAAAAACTCTGGTTTTAGTGAACATCATTCGTGCGTTTAGGGGCATCGTCACTTCCGTTCCAAATTTGAGCGAGTGGTTGGAAAACTATTATGCTATATTGCACGAATTATTTGGCAAATTAAATTCTCATAATTGAAAATAAGCACTGCTGTCATTAGGGAATTGTGATTAAGTACTTACAAAACAAACGTTATTTCTAGTTTATCCTGCACAATGACGATCAATAAGACGCTTGATGAACGTTAATAGTGCAGGAATACAGGCGATCCCCTCTATCTGGTAAATGACGTCATAAAGGCGCGCGTAATTGACGAGTTTTTTCCGGTGACGGATGAACTCGAAAGTGGTCTATTGGTTTAATATTTACAGAGTGTTATTTTCTTATCAAAACCATTGATTTAAGGCAAATACGCGAACAAATTTTTGGCAATTGTTGTTATTTTAAAAATCGTTTTTTCACCCAAAAATTCAAAAATCGGTATTAGAACTTAAAACTTTAAACCTACACATGGTCTGCTTAAAATTTTGAATGCCTTTGCAGAAATTTGAATACTTAATTCTCATCTTCGAAATTAAGTGCCAACTTTTATCATCATTTTCCGCAAAATAAATTTGACCCCTGTGTTCAATAATACAGTATTTTCTCACTTTTAATTTCGTCAGATTCTTTTAATCATATGCATTTGCTTTGCAAATGAATGTTTTTCATTGGATAATTTAACAGTTTTTTCATATTTATTATATTTTATGATAAATTGGAGTTCAAACTTGTGTATCGTTACTTTTCTTGACTAGTATATAAATCCTTTACAGTTTTAGGCCGAGCTTTGAGTAATCCTTGGCTTTTACAGTTTTGGGCCGAGCTATGAGTTATCCTTGGCTTTTACAGTTTTGGGCCGAGCTATGAGTAATTCTTGGCTTTTACAGTTTTGGCCCGAGCTATGAGTAATCCTTGGCCTTTACAGTTTTGGGCCCAGCTATGAGTAATCCTTGGCCTTTACAGTTTAGGGCCCAGCTATGAGTAATCCTTAACTTTTACAGTTTTGGGCCGAGCTATGAGTAATCCTTGGCTTTTACAGTTTTAGGCCGAGCTATGAGTAATCTTTGGCCTTTACAATTTTGGGCCCAGCTATGAGTTATCCTTGGCCTTCACAGTTTTGGGCCCAGCTATGAGTAATCCTTGGCTTTTACCGTTTTAGGCCGATCTATGAGTAATCCTTTTGAAGGTAAATCCAGAATGCACAAATTTTTTTAAAGTGTAATTTTCATTTTAATTGTAGAAGTGAAATTAATGTTGAAAACAGACCCAGTAATATAAAGTTGTTTATAAGAACATTTTCGTAATTTTAGAATCCGGCAGTAGCGTGAAAGAAGGTCGAATTCTTAGTTATTGGTTAAGCTTCTAAAGGAATGTAAAACACTATGACTGTTTATACCCAATTCTAAATGTATCTTGTGGTTTCAAGTGTGGGATTATAGAGTCAATATACCCCCGCTAAATATTCTCCCTGTCTGATTGTCTGTCCGTGTACCATATAAGAAAACCTGATCCTAAATGAATAAACAAATATTGAGTAAATTTTACATAATTGTAGAACAATAACTGCGGATGTAACTCAGTCTTACATTTAAAGGGGAGATAATCGATATTTTTTCTAAGAATTACCATATGTAGAACTGGTCTTTCTAAAACAAAACACCTCCTAAACCTCAGGGTCCACTTACTACATAATGGGCGGTAGGGATACGCCGCTTGAAAAGGTTGCTTTTTCAATGATAAGGGCGAGAAATTTAGATTACATACATATGATAAGGTTGCTGTCTAGTATCTTAAACTACTGAAATATATGTAAGCATTTTCAAAAGAGGCGATTAAAACCAGTCGTACATGCATCAGATATTTGTCAAATCTGTCTAAAATCTACATGCAATAGCGTAATATAGTTTGTTCTTATGTTGCACTGTCACACTACTGTCCCAGGTTAGAGGAGGGTTGAGCGATCACAAACATGTTTAACCCAGCCACATTCTTTATGTGCCTGTCCCAAGTCAGGAGCCTGTATTTCAGTGACTGTCGTTGGTTCATGTCTGTCATATTTGTTTTTTCGTAATTTTTTTTGTTATAAATTATGCCGTTAGTTTTCTCAATTGAATTGTTTCATAATTTTCATGTCGGGGCCTTTTATAGCCGACCATACGGTATGGGTTTTTCTCAATGTTGAAGGCCGTACGGTTGCCTATAATTGCTTACATTCACTTCATTTGAACTTTGGTGGATAGTTGTCTCATTGGCAATCATACCACATTTATTTATATATATATAGGTCTAGTTTTTGTCAAAAAATATATGATAGGGTATGTATTTTCAATATTCAAAATATAAGAAAAGGAAGGGTCATTGGATGTCTCATTTGCCCACCTTAAGTGCCCACTCATCCCAAAACAGTCTGACGGTTATTTATGAAATTTAACACAGTTGTAGAGCACTATATGTGAATGTGTATTAAGGATTGTTATATCCGTCTGGTATGCATATTTAAACGGGTATTGAACGTACTCACTTCAATATTGCAAAACCCCGAGGATGGTTGGGGAATGGAAATATGGTCACTTACGTCTTCTTCCGACCGGCAGTAAAACCCTTACAAAAGTGGGGCGTCCGTTTGGGTGTACGGGATGTACGCAATCACATCAGGTCGGAATGGGGACGTTATATCCGAGAAAGAGTGCCAAGCTCTTAGCAACAACTCTTTGAGGGATCCGTAGGTAGCCTGCTCTGAAGCACAGTTTCTGTTCCTATCCAATATACCCTCATTTTCCAGTGACCTTTATCCCAGGCGACCTCTATTACAGGACCTATCAATTGTATTTATTGCTTATTTGTTCTCGTGCTGAACATGCATGAAATATTTGCCACTGGCATACACTACATCGAAAACATGACCACAAATGACAAAAAAGTATAAATTGAGGACTTGTATGCATATTGTCATTTAAGGGCGGATTGTTTGGACTTCTTTCATCATTAGTTGTGAATTGCTGGATTGGTTTTGGTGCGTTTATAAATAAAGTAGTGGTAACACCAACATCTCCGGTTACAACAGAAGGATGCCGGTTGAATCTTACAACTATTGAGGCCATCACTAATATAACATCAACGACTCCTTCAGCGGCAATTGAAAAACAAGATGAGTATGTACATTATGATTACAGTTTAAAATTCTATGAATTGAAGGGAATGGTGGGCTTAATAAAATCTATGACATTTATGCTATTCTTAAATTTTTTTTGGCGGGAAAGATGTATCTAAATTTTTTATATGAAATATATTGGAAGAAATGAAAGTTCAACTATTATATTCAAATATCTTTTGAAATGATTAACTTCAAAATATGTTACCAGAAGTGTGTGTAAGATGTTTTATTCTAAGACAATGCATAGTCCAGCAAAAAGTTCACCTGAATAATTCAGTTGGTATATTCTGCTGCTGTTCAAATACTTCATAAACATGTAGGAGAGATTGATTACAGTGAGGGACTGGATTATTCGGATTTATTTAGCAAAAAGCAGGATGAGTTACCAAATATTAAAAGTTTTATAAAAAACATTTTTGAGATATAAACAATATTAACAATGTTATATATTACTATGGAAAGCCTCAGCTGTCATATATTAGATATTTAAAAAACGTTATGCTGAAGCTTAAAATGTAAAGTTAAGACAGCGTGATGTTGAATTGAGTCATCAAAATGCTAACTCTAAATTACAATATGCTAAGTTGAATTTCTGCAATGTTGACTTGCAATGACAAGTGCTTTAGTCGTGATAGTATAATGATAAGTCACGATGTTGTGATGATATGCCAAACACACGTAACGTTGGGTTAAAAGTACATGATGTGAAGTTGACGTTGCATGATGTTAGCTTGCAGATGGATACTGCTCAGTCATACAATTCGATAGCTATGATAACAAATAAAATGAATAGCTAAAATGTATGGTGCTGACATGTTATTAATAAATGTTGAGTTGAGAATGTACGATGTTATATCATTGTGATATTACGATAGGTCTATCATGCAATCTGTTGATTTAAAACACCATGATGCACAGTTGAAAGTACATGATGTTAAGTTAAGATAACACGATGCTACACTACTATATTGAAACGAAAGGCTTACCATACAATTTATTGACTTAAAACAACACGATGCAACGTGTTAAGCTAAGATGCTCACTTGAAACTACACGACGTACAGTTGAAATTTTGTAATGTTAAGTTACGATAGTACGATTTTATATCATTATAATGTCACAATAGGCTTATTATACAATTTGCTTATTTAAAACTACACAACGTACAGTTGAAAGTACGTGATGTTAAGCTAAGATGGCACGTTGTTATATCATTAGAATGTCACGATAGGCTTACCACACGATATGCTCGTTTAAAACTACACGACGTACAGTTGAAAGTACGTGATGTTGAGCTATGATAGCAATATCTTATGTCATAATAATATCACGGTAGGCTTGCCATACAATATGCTTATTTAAAACTACACGACGTACAGCTGAAAGTACGTGTTGTCCAGATAAGACAGCACGATGTTATATCATTATAATGTCACGATAGGCTTATTATATAATTTGCTCATTTAAAATTACACCACGTACAGCTGAAAGTGCGTGATGTTAAGCTAAGATAGCACGTTTTTATATCATTAGAATGTTACGATAGGCTTACCACACGATATGCTCATTTAAAACTACATGATTTTCAGTTGAAACTAGATGATGTTAAGCTAAGATAGCATGTTGTTATATCATTTGAATGTCACGATAGGCTTACCATACAATATGCTCATTTAAAACTACACAACGTACAGTTGAAAGTATGTGATGTTGAGCTATGATAGCACGATGTTATATCATAATAATATCCCGATAGGCTTGCCATACACTATGCTCATTCAAAACTACACGACGTACAGTTGAAAGTACGTGTTGTTGAGCTAAGATAGCACGATGTTATATCATTATGACGTCACGAGAGGCTTATCATACAATGTGTTGACTTGAAACTACACGATGTAAATTTAAAGTAGTTTGGTCTTGACTTGAAACAGTAAAATGTTAAGTTATAAAAACAGAAGGTAAAGTCAAAATAAAACAATGATAGGATGACATATACTTGTGCAGAGTTGAAGATTTTTGGTGTTGACTTCGAATATAGTACAAATATTAGCTCGGTTTATGTTAAATTGAAAGACAATAATGATGCGTAAAACATTACAGAATTATGTGAATTGAAACTGCAATTCTATGGAAAAGAATAAGGGACAAATCCCCAGGATTTTTTCTTCTTCATTTGCAAGTTCGGAGGCAAAATGATATACAAAGAACGTTTTCCATAAATTCATAAAACAAATGAATTATCCATCGCTATGTATTACACTTGAATACAGTTTTGCCGTATATTTTACATGTTTTGTTTAGATGTTTTTTTTATGATTAAAAACCAGACTTTTTTTATGAACAATATTTAAGAAAATATTTATCTATGTTGTGTGTTAATATATACAACATTATATTGTGCTTATAAGACTTATGATTGTGAGGGTCAAATTTTACTCATATAAAATCACATCTATGTAAGAGTTATCGGAGAATTTGTATTTACCACTCCCGTTTTCCCCGAAATAAAACATAAGAATCTGGAGTCTTAATCTTAAAAAACAAAGATCAACTAATATGACAAATAATGAGGACTGAGAGGGTCAGAGCTATATGAGAATGTGACTCCCCCCGGCCTTGTTAGAGGTATCTGAAAATTTGAATTTTCTTTTCCACGAAATCAAACAAAAAGAATTGATAGGTGGAAGAATCCTACTGCATGGGGCCAACCCAAATATAAAGTATGGTAGATTCTGTTGTATACATTCCGCTTATACATGAAGTCTATATGAAACCTAATAAAATTTGACCTAGAGCCTCCAGTCTAAATCGTCAACTTTAAAAAAAAACATCATTTACAGCATTGCCAACCATTTTTCCAGCACCAAGTAAGATAGTGCCCAGGTTTATGTATATATCCACTCGGAGAATATTTCATTTTTTTTAAATTGGTAAAGTCATTAATGGACAATGACTCCTATAACTTATAATAAGAATGATTTCCGTCACTTATTTTCTTGTCTATAGTGATTTTCTTGGTTCTTTACAGCTTCTCTCTATCTATATGTGTTTTCAAAGAAAAAGAAAAAAATCAAAAATCGGTTAAAATTGTTAAAGTCCATGAATTATTTTGGTCTTGCTTTGATTAATTTGTAGATATGTTTTTTTTTTATGTCAACAGTTTCTCTCTCTCTCTCTTATAGTTTTCATGAGTGTGGTCTAAATTAAAATCGGTACATTTTTTTTAATTATTTGCCAAAATGTAGTTTATTCTTTTTTGAAAAAACATAATAAAAAGTTTGGGCCACAGAGCATTTTGCAAGCTATACAGGTTATGCAGTATTGTCAGATTTTTTATAACTATACATGGAAAACTCAATGTTAGAAAAAAACAATAAAAATTGGGATCACGAGACTCGTTTTCTGTCTACAAAACAAAATAGATAAAGTCCCTACACATTTCATCATTAAAGACGAAATATGCCAAAGGGATTTCAAACTCATAAGTCGAAAACAGACTGACAATGCCATGGCAAAAAATAAAAAAAAAAAAAAAAAACGACAAAAGATAATGTTATCCGAGTTATCTCCCCTATATGGAAAAGTTGAAAAACATATGCAAAAAATGTTCTGTATTCAAAATTAAATAATCGTTTTAATCAGATAAATCACATAATTTTCTTCATCAAAATGAAAAGTACTACATATGAATAACATTCCTCTCTCAAAATGTGTATATTTTTTTAGATCTAGACCGATTGTGTTGTGCTATATGAGAATCTAAGGGAGCTACCATGTGATTTTTAGGGGGGAGGGGATGGCTAGGATGACAAATTTTTTCCTGCCTTTTTTTTAGTTGTTATCTCTGTCCTGCCTTTTTATTTTTCACTCTATTCGGTCCTGCATTTTTTATTATTAGTTTATTCTGATTTTTTTTACATACATTGTCATCCTGCCTTTTTTTTGCCAAGTTGCTTATTCTGTATTTTTTTTAACTCAAAACTCCTGTCCTGCTTTTTTTTTAAATTTCATCCTAGCCCCCCAATAAAAATCAAATGGTAGCTCCCTAAGATTGCGGAAGACACCCGATCTACCCTAAGGGAAATATATCTAATGAGGAAGAAATTTACAATTTCGGTCACGTCGAGTTACTTGTAGATCTCCTTTTGTTGAAAAGGGTTTCTGTTTTCATTTATCTATCTATTATACTGTTCAGGGGGAGGGGAGAATCGAAAACAAAATAGACAAAAAGAAGGCGAAAGATACAAAAGGGATAATAAAACTATTAACCAAACTGACAATGTCAGAACAAAAACTCATCAGCCGAAATAAACGAGAGAAAAAAAATAAAAAGCCAAACAACAGTATATTAAGCGCAACATATAGAAAATCAAAAACACGAAACCCTAAAAAAAAGGGGTGATCTCAGGTGCTCCAGAAGGGTAAGCAGATCATGTTTCATATGTGGCACCCGTCACTTGGCGATTTTGCAAATAAAGAAGGAATGTGTTATAATTTTCGAGGAGCTCCCAAAAAACATGAATTACAGGGTGTCAAATCGATGAACGTGCTTAAAGTAGGCTCCTTTTCATAAAAAAGAATTGATGAAAATGTTTTAGTATTTAGTGTACAGTGGCAATTATTACATGCATATAAGGACGAGAATATGTAAGTGTGATATGAATATGAATAAATCTTGGCTCTGTACAAGACATATTTTGCTTGCTTAGCTGAATTTTTAACAAACTAGTTGACAAAACGTCTCTGACAATCTATGGAAATCCAAATAGTATCGGTTTTGATTAAGTCCAGATTTTTTGGTTTTATTTCGGGGAAAAGGGGTGTGTTTTACGTACAGTGGCAAATATTACATGCATATCAGGACGAGAACATGTAAGTGTGATGTGAATATGAATAAACCCTGCTTTGTTACAAGACGATATACTTTACTTGCCTAGCCGAATTTTCAACGAACTAGTCGACATTCTATGGAAATCGTAATCGCTTCGCATTTGATTAAGTCCAGATTCTTTTGTTTTATTTCGTGGAAAAGAAAATTCAAATTTTCAGATACCTCTAACAAGATCGGGGGGGGGGGGGGGGGGGGGGGTCACATTCTGAAATAGCTCTGACCCTCTCAGTCCTACGCTAAGCGTATTATTTGTCATATCAGTTGATCTTTGTTTTTAAAGATTAAGACTCCAGATTCTTATGTTCTATTTCGGGGAAAACGGGAGTGGTAAATACAAATTCTCCGATATCTCTTACATAGATGTGATTTTATATAGGTAAAATTTGACTCTCACAGTCATAAGTCTTATAAGCACAATATTATGTTGTATATATTAACACACAACATAGATAAATATTTTCTTAAATATTGTTCATAAAAAAAGTCTGGTTTTTAATCATAAAAAAAACATCCAAACAAAACATGTAAAATATACGGCAAAACTGTATTCAAGTGTAATATATAGCGATGGGTAATTCTTTTGCTTTATGAATTTATGGAAAACTTTCTTTGTATATAATTTTGCCTCCGGAGTTAAATTTCATTAATATTCATCAACTTGCAAATGAAGAAGAAAAAATCCTGGGGATTTGTCCCTTATTCTTTTCCATAGAATTGCAGTTTCAATTCACATAATTCTGTAATGTTTTACGCATCATTATTGTCTTTCAATTTAACATAAAACGATCTAACATTTGTACTATATTCGAAGTCAACACCAAAAATCTTCAACTCTGCACAAGTATATGGCATCCTATCATTGTTTTATTTTGACTTTACCTTCTGTTTTTATAACTTAACATTTTACTGTTTCAAGTCAAGACCAAACTACTTCAAATTTACATCGTGTAGTTTCAAGTCAACACATTGTATGATAAGCCTCTCGTGACGTCATAATGATATAACATCGTGCTATCTTAGCTCAACAACACGTACTTTCAACTGTACGTCGTGTAGTTTTGAATGAGCATAGTGTATGGCAAGCCTATCGGGATATTATTATGATATAACATCGTGCTATCATAGCTCAACATCACATACTTTCAACTGTACGTTGTGTAGTTTTAAATGAGCATATTGTATGGTAAGCCTATCGTGACATTCAAATGATATAACAACATGCTATCTTAGCTTAACATCATCTAGTTTCAACTGAAAATCATGTAGTTTTAAATGAGCATATCGTGTGGTAAGCCTATCGTGACATTCTAATGATATAACAACGTGCTATCTTAGCTTAACATCACGCACTTTCAGCTGTACGTGGTGTAATTTTAAATGAGCAAATTGTATAATAAGCATATCGTGACATTATAATGATATAACATCGTGCTGTCTTAGCTGAACAACACGTACTTTCAACTGTACGTCGTGTAGTTTTAAATAAGCATATTGTATGGCAAGCCTACCGTGATATTATAATGACATAAGATATTGCTATCATAGCTCAACATTACGCACTTTCAACTGTACGTCGTGTAGTTTTAAACGAGCATATCGTGTGGTAAGCCTATCGTGACATTCTAATGATATAACAACGTGCCATCTTAGCTTAACATCACGTACTTTCAACTGTACGTTGTGTAGTTCTAAATGAGCAAATTGTATAATAAGTCTATTGTGACATTATAATGATATAACATCGTACTATCGTAGCTTAACATTACAAAATTTCAACTGTACGTCGTGTAGTTTCAAATGAGCATCTTAGCTTAACACGTTGCATCGTGTTGTTTTAAGTCAACAAATTGTATGGTAAGCCTTTCGTTTCAATATAGTGTTGTAGCATCGTGTTATCTTAACTTAACATCATGTACTTTCAACTGTGCATCATGGTGTTTTAAATCAACAGATTGCATGATAGACCTATCGTAATATCACAATGATATAACATCGTACATTCTCAACTCAACATTTATTAATAACATGTCAGCACCATACATTTTAGCTATTCATTTTATTTGTTATCATAGCTATCGAAGTGTATGACTGAGCAGTATCCATCTGCAAGCTAACATCATGCAACGTCCACTTCACATCATGTACTTTAAACCCAACGTTACGTGTGTTTGGCATATCATCACAACATCGTGACTTATCATTATACTATCACGACTAAAGCACTTGTCATTGCAAGTCAACATTGCGGAAATTCAACTTAGCATATTGTAATTTAGAGTTAGCATTTTGATGACTCAATTCAACATCACGCTGTCTTAACTTTACATTTTAAGCTTCAGCATAACGTTTTTTAAATATCTAATATATGACAGCTGAGGCTTTCCATATATTACAGCTACCTAATTATATACAAGATGTCTTACATCTGGTTCACTGGACTTGGGTTATTGGTATGTGTGGTATTTGGACTCATTGTAAGCTTTATAACAGGTAAACGAAAGTACTAAGTAACTTTACAGCAGAATGCATTGAGTGTGTAGGTAAAGGTAGAATCTTTGGTTACCTTGCTTGTTAGCTGAACCGTGAAGTCATTATTAGGTCGGGTATACTACCCTCCTTTCGGAGTAGTCTAGTCCTACAGACAGATAGATTGGTTATCTGTCGGACTAGTCTACTCTTAAAGGAGGGTAGTTTACCTAACCTAATAATGACTTCACGGTTCAGCTAGCAAGCAAGCTAACCAAAGATATTACCTTTACCTACACACTCAATGCATTCTGCTGTAAGTCTTCACGGTTAGCAATATACCCCACGGCACCGTAAAAATACCATCGAGCCTGTATGAGTTTCACATAGAGTCAAGTACAATCTATCTAAATAGAATTTAAAACAATGAAATTTCTTGCCTGTAGGTTGGGGAATGCCTTTATAGTATTAACAAATTTAACCGAAATGTGTTAAACTTCGAAATGTTTATATCGAATATGATATATATATAATGATGTATATAGTTTGATCCCTTGGGTTGGTCTTGTTTTCTAAAACAGAATTGTTCGACAAAACGTTATTCGAAAACAATATTTAAATTTTCTAATTTAAAACGCGAGGCTTGGTGATCTTTATATATCTAAAATTAAACTGGTGAGAGTGAAGAATCATCGTATTGCACGGTATTCGGTGGTTGAATCTATTTCTCAAATGATTATTTGACAATACCAATAAAACAATTATCGTTTTTTCAAAAACTTACAAAAATATGTGTTTTTTCTATATGATGTGATCAGTAATGATCGTCTCTTTTCGTGACATCACAATATGAAACTCAGAGGAAAGCAAGAATATTGGACGTCATAATTGAAATTTGACCCTTGAAGAACTGAGAACTGAGATCAAACTAAAAACACGTTGATTATAAAAAAAAAAGGTCAACCGGTCGAGGAAAGTATGAATCGGTTAAAAATTAGAGAAATATCAGTATAATTTTTGCATATTCCTTATTTTCTTCTGCTTCAACATTTTGTTTCTTTCGTTGTTTTTATCTTCTGCTGGGTTCGTTTTCAATATTAATTAAACCGTTCTTTTGTTCCTTTCTTTTTTATTGGGGTGTGGAATTTTGGTGGTAAAATTTCTGTATTGTTAGAATGTTTCTGTTTTAATTTGTTGAATTTGCAAGAATAAAAGGTGTACATCCATGAGACAGAAAGCCCCATTAAATACCAGTATCGTTCTTTTATGTATTAGCTATCCTCTTAAATGAGATACTTGTTATTTATGACGAATGAGAACAAAATTCTAGATTGAAATTTGCAGCTAGAAAAAAAACAATTAGACTACAAATACTGACATCAATAATATGTCAATTGTAATTTGCATAATATGTCAATTATAATTATTTGCAAATCATCTAGCTATGTATCAATAATATGTCAATTATAATTATTTGCAAATCATCTAACTATGTATCAATAATATGTCAATTATAATTGTTTGGAAATCATCTAACTATGTATCAATAATATGTCAATTATAATTATTTGCAAATCATCTAGCTATGTATCAATAATATGTCAATTATAATTATTTGCAAATCATCTAGCTATGTATCAATAATATGTCAATTATAATTATTTGCAAATCATCTAGCTATGTATCAATAATATGTCAATTATAATTATTTGCAAATCAACTTACTATGTATCAATAATATGTCAATTATAATTATTTGCAAATCATCTAACTATGTATCAATAATATGTCAATTATAATTATTTGCAAATCATCTAGCTATGTATCAATAATATGTCAATTATAATTATTTGCAAATCATCTAGCTATGTATCAATAATATGTCAATTATAATTTGCAAATCATCTAGCTATGTATCAATAATATGTCAATTATAATTTGCAAATCATCTAACTGTGTATCTTTTTAAACTAGTATTTTCTAGGTTAAAAGTAGATATGGGATGTACGTCAATGAGATAGTGACCTTGCAAAACCACAAAACCAAATACATCTAATATAAGGTCAACATACGATATTCATCAATAGATTATAAGACAAGGGTCTGGGTGTTTTTTATATGTCAAACTTTAAATCACCTTAAATCTAGCTGAGTCATTCTCCTGAAAACTCACTTACTAGAAATACTACTTAATATACATTATATGTCTTTTTGTGTTTTCTAACTATTTCAAAGCAAAACTGATATCAATATTGAACTTCATAGGAGCAACAGACCCAAAGAAAATAAATCCTGGTTTAATTTGTCCTATATTTGATGAAATTTTGCCATGCCTTCCTGTGAAAACCAGAAAGAGGCTTCATTTTGGCGTTCGTCACGAAGACGTAAGTATAAAACTTTAGGGAATACACCCTAATGCTCTAAAATAATTCCTGACAATTTGAAAAAAATCAATTTTATTTACTGTAAACTTATTAATAAAATGTTAAAATAATTCTACTCTAAATGATTTTTTACCCCAGGAATAAATGGCCTTCGAATGATTTTGGCACCACGATTGGGTTTTCTTTAGTTTTCAATACTCGTCAACTTTTAATTGATTAAACACAGTGTTTTTTTTTTTATTTCGTATTGTAATTAGAATAGTTTCCTAATTTAACCGTGAAATGAAACACTTTTAAGAGACATATTTATTTTGTAGTTTGTAAAGTTCTCCAAGGACAACCCGAAAACGATTGAGAGAGGAGGATATGATAGAACGCTGTATATAGCAGAAAATACAGATAAAATACCCCATGATGCAATCCGTGGTTTCCCTAAACATTTTGAAAAATCAGAATATAACACTAAACTTTGATGCAAGCATACGATATTGTTTAATTATACATTTTTCTATCCTTATGAAAATTGAACGTTTTAATCATGTTTTAAGTATGTCCGATATATCATGTGACAGTACAATACCACAATTTCCTGTTCATGCACATCATAGAAAACCACAATTAATTTTAAATAAAAAAAGTTTCATTATCTTAAAGCGACTGTTTAAACAAACCATTATATACTTTTACTTCAGATCAGCAGGTTCAATTTTAAAAATGCAACTTTTTAATATAAGCAATCTTAATGGAGAAAATGTGTTTCACTTTTTGTAAGTTTTCAAAAATTATACCTGTGAAATATGAAAAAAAGAAGATGTGGTGTGATTACTAATGAGACAACTCACCACAAGATACCAAATGACATAGAAACAACTAACAACTATAGGTCACCGTAAGGCCTTCAACAATGAGCAAAACCAATTCCGCATGTGAAAGGTCATTACAAGTTAATCACACCTAAATAAACTAGAGACTCGTAAGATTCTGCTAATCTGCGTATATAGCTGCCTACTTATTAGGAACATTCATTATTCAATATATAAAACATACGAATCATTCTGATCCTTATGCATATATTTTCTTATTGTGTGTGATATGGCTTCAAACATACCGCTTTCTTACGGAATGTGCATAAAGTAGGACAATCAATAAAAAAAAAGTTTGTCAAATAATGGATATTGGATAGACACAAAAAAAAATGTGGTGCAAAAATAAAACATAATACATCAAAATAAACTTTCCATCGTTAATAAACAAAATGAAAACTATTGCTATAAAACAAAATGTAATATGCGATACTAGTTGAAACACCAGGCAGTCCATAGATATGAAAATAAGGAGATGTAGTATGATTGACAATGAGACAGCTGCTATCCACCAACGTTCAAATGAAGTGGATGAAAGCAATTATTATAGGCAACCGTACGATTCTCCAAAATGAGAAAAACCAATACCATTTAGTCGGCTTTAAAAGGCCCCGAACTGAAAAATGAAACAATTCCATTGAGTAAACTAACTGCCTAATTTGTAACAAAATAATTTATGAAAAACAAATATGACAGAAATGCACGAACGACAACCACTGAACTACAGGCTCCTGACTTGGAACAGGCACATACAGAATGTGGCGGGGTTAAACATGTTTGAAGGCGCCAACAGACTTGCCATAAAAAAGTACAGTATGTAATAATCGATCAAAATGACCCATGTTAATTAGACAAAAAAATATTTTTAAAATCTGGAATCATATATAATCATTATATCCCGTATTTTTGTTTTATTGCTTTTTATCATAGATGATATTGCTTTTGTGTATTGTGTAATATTATGTTTGTGGTAAAGCTTAAATTGTACGCTTGTTTGTTTGTTTGGCTTTTTGAAATAAAATCTGGAAATGTAGAAAATTAACAGCAACATCAACAACAATACTAATAACTCTAATAATAATTATGACAAAGCAAAGCTCTGATTCATAGCCTGGCTTTGGCTAGACTTTTGTCCTTTTTGGTTTAATCAGCTCTTCAATTTTTTCATGAGTTTTGGATTTCAAATATTTTGGCCTCGAGCATCACTGAAGATGAATTAATTGTCGACATGCGCAACTAATTCAGTAAAATTGGTACTGGTAATGTTATTAACAGGTATAAATATTAATTGTTTTAATAAAAAGAGATGTGTAGTATACGTTAATGAGAAAGTAACCCAACGAAACAAAACAAAACCCAAAGGCTTCTAAATAAAGACAAACTAAGATAATCAGACATATAAACGATTTTATAATTCGTTTGACTTTGTAACACATGTGTAATGGCGTGAACATTTGTAAAGAAAGCACATGAAATCTGCTAAAACTTTCTTAAATTTGTCTAAAAAATCATCAAAAGTGTAATTTCAAATACATAGATCTTTTTTACAATTCTTTAAGAAAAATCTATGTATTTGAAACTTGAGATTTGGTGATTTTGAGACAAACTTTAGAACCTTTTTCGCAGATTGTATGTGTTTCTATACAAAGGTTCACCTATTTTGAAAGAATTCAATCAGTAATATTTAAGAAAATAAAAGAGATAAATGCATTATTTTCGATTTCCAGTTATAGTTCAACGAGCCAAAGTTGTATGCAAAATGTTATCAAAATCTGTGACATAGCCCATCAACTGTTCCTTGACCTTAAAGTAAAATATTAAGAAAGCTGTGGAGATTGAAACAAAATGGGTTGAATAGATAGGGATTTTGGAATTGGTGCTCTGACACCTATAAAGTGGGACAAAGATCCGCCAAATAATTAAATCGTTGATTATAATACTGTGATTATGTACGGGTAACAGAAAATAATATAATAAAACAAAATTTAAAACCTAATACAAAGAACAAATATCCAATTGTGAGATTCAAGAGGGGGAAATACCTAAATTTCTTGGAAAATTTGAAGTACCATTTTAAGCGTTGGATAAAGTCAAACACGTCAGTACTATTGAAAATTGTACAATATCTACAAACTGCATTTGATCTATCAACATATGTTTGATTGTATGATTGTGGTTGCGACGTATGTATTGAGGTTGTTGGTTTTTTTTTAATGTTCATGTGGTTACCTAGTATGTTGTTTGCGACATGTAACGATATCACCAAGATCTTTTGGACATTTATATTGACAAATACAAGATTAACAGATATTGGATGAGCACAATAAAAAAACTGGCAATAAAAACACTTCCCATATACTGCGAATTTTCGAAAACATGTGGTTGTTATTTATTGAACAAAATCAATTATGTTGGTAGTAAAGAGCTCCATATTGGCTAACAGACATTAAACGTTATTTGTTGTGGTTTGTTGTCCTTTAAGCAAACTTTTACAAACGCATGTCAAATTTTCTTCGAAAAAATTTCTTTACCAAGTCAGAATATGACATTTTTTTTCCAATCGTTACGTTGGTTGATATAGTTAAGTGTTTGGTTTTGTCAGTTTTTAAGGACTTTCCCTTTTTGAAATCACCAGTGAGTACGGGAATTTTGTTATAACACTTTTTTCGCAGTATTGCTTCAAAATTGTCGTCAACGGCAATGTACATGTACTCCCCTCAATAACATTTTGATGATATGACAATAAGACAAGTTGTTGAAAAAGGGTTTACTATTTAGACTCTTTTAAATTAAATTCCACTAGTTGTCATCAACTTTCCAATTTTGAGAAGTTTGTGAAACTCTTAAACTAGGGGAAATATGCAATACCCCTTTCTGTCCATTTCCTCCTCCTCGTTTCAGCTACGTTTGCCTCCCCTTAACCATACACAAGCTGTATGAGATCAAATTGCAATTCAAATCTACGGAACAGCAAATATGCAAGCCACATCGCAATCAAATCCGACTTTCAGTATGGTCAAGTCAAGTTATTGGGATATTTCATTCGAAATCAATATTTCATGTAATTTTAAAGGTTATATTATTACAGATGAAATAAAATTCATACTACTTTGTGAACACGTTTTTATCAAGTGTTTTTTTTTTTAACAGTTTATTATATAACAAGGCAAAATAAGCAATCTTGCGATTACGTTTAAACACTATTGGGTTGTAATGAAATGTGACAACTATCTTGATACATTGCCATTTATATTTAATTTGCACTTTATAAAGAAGCTTCAAAGACAACTCGGCGACAAGTTAGGAAGGATGATATGTATGTAACAGAAAACATAATGCAGATAAAAGACCCAATGATACAATCTCAATATCCCACTGTAATCTAAACTTTTAATTAATTCAAGAAAACGATATTGTACACCTACAGTATTATTTTTTATTGTCAGTTATAGAAGAATTATATATCATAGCATGAGACACAGTACGAGATCACAATTTCCTGTTCATATACATTGTAGAAAATCAAAATATATAAAAATTGAATATAATTTGACCTGAACATTAAAAGTAACATTTCACTATGTTTAACAAATACCCTATCAATAATCTGCCATCTGTTACTTTTGTTATTCTCATTTTCATTTTTGAGATTCAATTTTAAGATAAAGCTTTTCGCTATAACCAATCTTAAATGAGATAATGTATTTACCTTTGAAAAATTATCAAGATGTATTTAAAATCAATATACCAGTAAAAGTTCATCACAGGTTGCATTTCTGTAAATATTGACAATGCAATTTCCCATAGGAACTCCTTTTATGGCTAAAACTGTACCACTTTTACTATGAAGTTTTGAAAAAAATCATATCCTAGAATGGAAAGTTCATATGCACTACAATTTTTTTCAAAGGTCAAAATATAGGGCTGTGCGGCATATTTTCAACGTTTATATGCCCCGAACTTCTAAGAGTTTAAACTAACACTAAATTTCTAAACTATCCCTACCTTGACTGTAGTATTACCACAGATTTCAATATAAACAATATGCATATGTATATTTACTGGTAACATTCCCAAGTTATGTCTCTATGAGATGAAACCTAGAGATCATAACTGGGAACCAGTATGTAAACAAAATTAATTATCTATGAATATTCTATATCTCCCCAAAAGAGGCGTGGTTTGAGAAACAGCTGTATTTACAAAGTGCAACCTACAAGTTCATCAGAATTACTGATATACAAGTGGTTAATAAGAGCCTTAAACGCTCAGCTACATGTAGAATATTGGATGATTTCTTTTAGAATAATAATCTTCACTATACATGTACTTAAAGCATTGGAATCTGTCTTAGTCACTGCATAAATGTGTAGAATGTTTTTCCTGTGTGTGGTTTTGGCTTATTAAAATCTCAATTCAAGACACTGCTTTCTTATTCAAAGTGTACTGAGTCATAATTATAATGGCTTTTATATTAGCTCACCTGGCCCAATATGGCCAAGTGAGCTTTTCTTATTACTTGGCGTCCGTCGTCCGTCGTCGTCCGTTAACTTTTACAAAAAACATTCTTCTCTGAAACTACTTCGCCAAATAAATTCAAACTTGGCCTAAATCATTCTTAAGGTATCTTGTTTAAAAAATGTATTCGATGACCCCGCCCCTCAACCAAGATGGCTGCCATGGCTTTAATATATATCTCTCAAACTGAAGCATTAAGAGCAAATCAGACATGGGGTAAAAAATGTTCATCAGGTCAAGTTCTATCTGCCTTGAAATTTTCAGACACATCAGACAACCCGTTGTTAGGTTGCTGCCCCTGAATTGGTAATTTTAAGAAAATTTTGCAGTTTTTGGTTATTATCTTGAATACTATAATAGAAAGAGATAAACTGTAAACAGCAAAATTGTTCAGCAAAAGTAAGATCTACAAATAAGTTAACATGACCAAAATTGTCAATTGACCCCATAAAGAGTTATTGCCCTATAAAGTCAATTTTTCACAATTTTTCGTAACTTTTTGTAATCTTTTACAAAAAAACTTCTCCTCTGAAACTACTGGGTAAAGGTAGAATCTTTGGTTACCTTGCTTGTTAGCTGAACCGTGAAGTCTTTATTAGGTCAGGTATACTACCCTCCTTTCGGAGTAGTCTAGTCCTACAAACAGATAGATTGGTTGTCTGTCGGACTAGTCTACTCTTAAAGGAGGGTAGTTTACCTAACCTAATAATGACTTCACGGTTCAGCTAGCAAGCAAGCTAACCAAAGATATTACCTTTACCTACACACTCAATGCATTGTGCTGTAAGTCTTCACGGTTAGCAATATACCCAACGGCACGTAAAAATACCATCGAGCCTGTTTGAGTTTCACATAGAGTCAAGTACAATCTATCTAAATAGAATTTAAAACAATGAAATTTCTTGCCTGTAGGTTGGGGAATGCCTTTATAGTATTAACAAATTTAAACCGAAATGTGTTTAACTTCAAAATTTTTATATCGAAATAATATATATAATGATGTATATAGTTTGTTCCCTTGGGTTGGTCTTGTTTTCTGAAACAGCATTGTCCAACTTTTCTCTAATTCGACAAAACGTAATTCGAAAACAACATTTAAATTTTCTAATTTAAAACGCGAGGCATGGCGAACTTTTTGGATATTTAAAATTTAACTGGTGAGAGTGAAGAATCATCGTATTGCACGATATTCGGTGGTGGAATCTATTTCTCAAATGTTTGTTTGGCAAGATCAAGAAAACAATTATCGTTTTTTCAATAACTTACAAAAATATGTGTTTTTTCTGTATGATGTGATCAGTAATGGTCATCTCTTTTCGTGACATCACAATATGAAACTCAGAGGAAAGCAAGAATATTGGACGTCATAATTGAAATTTGACCCTTGAAGAACTGAGAACTGAGATCAAACTAAAAACACGTTGATTATAAAAAAAAAATGATCAACCGGTCGGGGAAAGTATAAATCGGCTAAAAATTAGAGAAATATCAATATAATTTTTGCATATTCCTTATTTCCTTTTG